AAATGAATGTAATAACAATTAAAATGTTCAGTTTAAAAAATGCGACTCCACTAAAATTGCCCATCTGGACTATGATTTTTCATCAGTATCTATCTCACTGACGAGCTGTATGTTGTTGGCTAGTGAATAATTTTGAGAATTAAGTTACACTGAACAGTTAATATGTTTTAATGCATACCTTCTCGTCAGTGCGTGTATTCTCAATTTTAGTTGGTTTTTAAATTACCAACCTTCAGGTTTTATGTGGAAGCAAAATATCATACAAGTAATGAGTTAAACTTTAATATTCAACGGTTGGAACAGGATAAAAACGCAAGACCACATCGTAGTTCAGTATAATATTCTAGTTAGTATGGTATTTTTTGTATTCATCTAGTATGCATTCCGTTCTAAATAACATACAACATGAATTTTGAATGAATTCTATGTAAAATAGTTTTTTTTATTCCCCTTATTTTGGTTCTATCTGACATTTTTTAACCTAATAATTGAACGTCGGTAAAATCGATAAATAACTGAGTGCTTTTTGATTAAAGTGGTTATCGTGTTTCTGATGAGTGAAATAAATTTGCTTCTGTCAACAATCTTTCCATTCTGCTGTGTCATGAGAACCTCAGTGTTCTCTTGTTCGAAGCATCGGCTTTAATAGTTAATACATCGAAAGTGTTATATTTTAATCAGTCTATGATACAGCCTTATTTCTGATGTGATTTATTCAACAGACTACACAGTCACTCACAGGGACCGGTAGGTAATCTATCTTTACGTCAATATTCATATGAATAGTAAGTAATTTGTCTGAGGGTTTATGGAAACTGTTAAACGATGTTGAGATCATGAACCTACTTTGTTAGACAACCACTGAAAACCAGGAAGCACTGTATATTCACTTCATTCTAATATGAGATGTGCTTCGTAGTAGAAAGTAACAATTATCCTGTGCTTCTTTTTCTTATTTTAACTTAATTCATGATCGCAATAGTAAATTATTTCCGTTTAACTCCTTACAAACTACTTATGTAGATAATTACTTATCCTGCTTTCTCTTTTAAAAACAAACATTTTAAAATTATCACATACTTATCTGAAAATTTACAAGTTGAAAGTGAACAAAGTATTAGTGTATTGACAAATATTTAATCGACACTTTTTACATACTTATCAAGTTGTTTTTTACATTTGTGAAAGGGAGACTTGATGTAGTTGATAAAAAGGACAGAAGTCATATTATCGATTTAGTGGCGGATTTTTTCTTGACTAAGTGGTTAATTAGTTGTTTTTTTGTATTTATTTTCAAGTAGTCATGCTTGCGTTGATCATTTTGTCTAGTGAGAAAAAGAGGAGAGCGTGTAATTGGAAAGTTTGTTTTGCGTCTTAAGTCATTATTTACAAAGATTAGAATGATTTATAGTGATTGTATCTATTTCATGAATTTGGTTAAACATATACGTTAAATATATCCATATATATATATATATATGATGTTCACTCCGGGACTGAAAACCAATGCTGCTCGCTTCAAACGCCATCGCGTTATCCACTTAGTTACTGAATCCTGATCGCCACTTGCTTGTGCAGTAGGGTGAAGTTTAAATTCACTTGGTATATATATGAAATGCAACTCATTTATTGTAGTCAATTTTCGGATCACATTATTCTTGTGAATACTAGCGATATTATTTGAATGTATTAACTGAAACAAATAGAATCTGACTTATTTTTGTATTGTTTGTTTGAATCTTCCCATTGTTGTTTAGGGCTTTAATTGATCAGTCTCCTATTGACATATGTGCATCCTGTGCTGATTGATGAAACACGCGTCCTGGATTCCACTACTAGCCACCATCCATCTCTGCTTATAAGTAGAATATGATTTTGAAAGTTTAATATTATAACCACTAAGAGATCAGGGTAGGTGACCAAGTACACGTTAATGTGCTCTAGATTTTATTCACAAGATTTCTAATAACACGACAAAACAGAAAATTTTTTTCTTTGAAAGGAAACTCATTTTATTTTAATTTGGAATCAGTGGAAATCTTGTTCTTAATAAACAAAAAATATGATAACTATATTTATCAAGTGTGTTGAAATTTTATAATAAAACAAAGTGTATGGATTTACTGTCCATAAATTACAAGTTGCATATATGTTAATCATGAAGAATGTTAGTATATAATATCCACTATATTTACAGTGAATGCCATTATGAACTGAAGTCAACTAAAATAAAACCCATTGAATATCAAAGCGACTTGAATGTCTGCTTTATTTTTAAATTAAAATGTATCACTGAATAAATTTATGTGATAAATGATTTATTTCTCTTATTAATGAATTTCGTGGAGGTTAGTCTATTTTCAAAGTGATTTCTGTAATGCACTAACATTAGTTAGGTTTATCACTGAAAATCAACAATCACTGGATAATGGTGTCGTCCTAGGATCGGACTACTTAGCAGAATACATTCACGACCCCATCAACTGTCAAACAAAAAAGATTACGGTCTATTAGCAACAATGAACTCTTTATACTTCTATAGCAGCATCAATTATTCCATACTATGATAATCCGCTAGCATAGGCGATGTTTGTCTCATTCCTTAGATGAATAATATCCATTGTTTAACATCTGAAAAATAATCTATCTAATACCTATAGCTGTTAAATGATAAAAAAGATTATTGATTTGTATGTCATGTTAAAAATCTACTAACAAATTCCTTTTTCAATAGTTGAGATCGTGAGTCAATTAAAGCTAGACCACCATGGAAAACCTGGAAGCACTGGATGGCCGTTTCGTTCTAGTATGGGACTCCTCAGTAATGCGCATCCACGATCCCGCCCCCCACAAGATTCGAACCCAGGACCTATCAGTCTCCCGCCAGGCGCTTAACCAACTAAACCACTGAACCGGCATCCAACGGTGTTAATGTCTAACTTCAACCAATCCACGAAGTTGCGCCACCGTCCACCATTGTCTTCAGTGAGTTCCTATCTCACAACAGACCTGCTTGAACTCCACTGGTAACGAGGAGTCCCATACTAGGACGAAACGACCGTCCAGTGCTTCCAGGTTTTCCATGGTGGTCTAGCTTCAATTGGCTCATGATTTCAACCAGTGAAATTTCTAAAAATCTCCACAAAATCCATTCTGATAAAAATGGAAATATATTTGAATTTAAATTCATTTGTCATTTATCTGAAATACTCTTTATAATCTACTGAGTAAGAGAAATAAAAAAATTTCCCACTTACATGATTATGCTTTTAAATACAAAGTGAAAATATGTTAATTGAAAATTTTAATGTATGTTTCACATTGGTAAATCACATGAAATATCTGAATTTTTTTTCAGTGTATCCAAACCAATATTGATAACCAGAAGGGGTAGTGTGGATATTATAGTAATTTCATTAGTTGAATTCATGACTCAATTGAAATTAGACTACCACAGAAAACCTAGAAGCACTGGAAATATTGATAAATAGGTTCTATTCAAACAGGATCACACATCTATATACAAATATCTTAGTAAACACATACAAACAGAAGCGTATATACAAATAGATAAACATCTACACTAACATCCAAATGGGCATATATATATATATACATGCTTACATCTATCCCCCCCACAATAAGTACTAATTACATTAGACATATTTGATATGTCTTAGTCAATTTATGCATGACTAATTATTGACTGTTGCATGCATTCATCAATAGAAAATAATGTTAACATGATACTTTAAATTTAACTAATTTCAGTGATGATTTAATCATTAATCAACTATTTAAATGTTAAAAAGAAACAATTTTTGTAGGGTGGTGGGTTCTAAGCAAACTTTTTTGTGTGGTTTTTTTTGGATATTTGACATCTGTTGAAAAAAAAATATTATTCAATCACGAAATTTATTTCAAGTAAAAAAAATACAAAACAAAAAGGCAAAGAGACATTTTTTTGTCAAGTAAAAATGATTTATAAGCTTGATTATTTATTTTATAACGAAAGAAACAAAAATGTTTAGTATACATTAAAGAGGAATAATATATATTTGTAAAATCTCAGCGAAAGAATTTTGAAGTAATTCCAACGCTTCGCCTGGCAATCTGGTCCAAGCTTTTTCAAGGATATATTATTCCTCTTTAATGACTCACATTAACTCGGCGCCCAAATATTGTGATTAGTATACAGTTTGTTTTAATCAAGGGTACCCGATTTTTGAAAAAAAGAAATCGATTTCGTTTTTTTCCCCAGAAAAGGAACAATGTGTGAATTGAATTTTATTTGACATGAAATGAGGTGACATGAAATCTTATTATTACTCTAATTAGACTAATTTAATGTAAAACTTTCTTATGAAGTTCTTATTCTTCATTTTCATGGGTTACATTGGTTTTTATTCAAATAGAGAAAAAAATTTTTTCTGATGATTAATTAATCACTAACTGATTAGTATTGATTTGATTATGAGTTTTATTGATTCTTGTATTGGTTGTTTGAATTTCTGCATTGATGTTTAATATTTCAATTGGTCAGTCCGTTATTGGTATATTTACATCCTGTATGGATTGCGTCGGTATGACCTAAAGTTACAAGCATTATAATCAGAGATGAGTGAGGATACATTCAAATGACACGTCCCAGATAGGATGAAACGAGCGTTCTGGATCCCATAACTAGCTATCATCCATCTCTGTTTGAAATGTTTTATTGTTTAATTGAAAGAGTTTGATAAAGGTCAGTTTAATTTTTAGGTGGTATTCATTACATATTGATTTCAATTGGTATATCACTGAAAACTAAACAACATTGGATAGATGTTTCATTCGAATATGGGACTCCGATGGTTCGCATTTATTACCCCACGTAGAATATAATCCAGAACATTGAGGCTTCACATTGAGTTCGTTATCTTCAAATCATTGAGTTATCATCTACTGACTTACATTTATGATCTTTCATTTATATTTACAGAAATCTTCAAAATCGAACTATGTCAGCTTATATAAACGAAAATCCCATTTTATCTGTATTTATTTCTAAGGATGAAAAAATGATTTCTGAAAATGAAAATAAAGATAATAACTTGTTCGATGTGAAGTTACCAGCGAATATATTATGGAAAAGTCATGAGCATTTACCAGTTACCCAACCTTCCGTTACAGAATACTCTTCAAATCATATAGACAATGTGACTGCTATCACAGATATGACAAATTCACACTTCCTAACAAGATCTGATAGTATTCATCAAACTAATTTACCTGTACACAATGGTTTCAACCCAATTTACCACTCGAATGAATTACAAATACATACATCCAAAGAATTTAGAAAGTTATCATCAAATGATGGACATTTTCAATCAATAATACCTTCTAGGTCTATATCAACACCTTCATATTCAACAATGGCCACATCTTCAAATGAACAAGAAGAAAACAAAAATAACTTTCCTGAGAATTATAATCTACTATCAAGTACATATTATCAACAATTTTTATTAAAACATTACAACAGAAATGTGACTGATGAAGTCACTAATTTAATGGATGAAAACTATCGTAACTCATTGATTATGTCATCCTATGTTAATCGTTTACAACATTCAGAAAATTTAGTTTGTACAAGTAACATCAACAATCCTTTTACCAGTACTAATACTATTACAACAACAACCGCTTCTACTTCTGCTACTAACGTCACCGATATACATGCTACTAATTTCAATACAAGTAGTATAAGTCCATCGAGTCATAATCAGTCAATTCATGAAAATTATGAATTTAATAGCAATCCTACAAACTTGCAACATCATCATCATCGTCATCATTATGTTAACCCTGATGATAATAATTTTTCTGGAAATGTAAACAAGCATTATAATTCAGGAATGCATGAAAATTATTTACCTTGGACAGAATATTGTAACAATAGTGACTATAACATTGATTATTTGAATAATGATCACAAGAGTAGTGATTACATAACAGAAACTGATTCATTGAAAAATGAACAGAGTTTTCATGTAAAACAATATCAGAGTCAACAATCCAATTGGTTGAATGATATACACACTTGGGTAAATAATAGATTTTCACATGATAATGTTAATAATGCATTAAAACCAACAATTATCAATAATGATAAGATCCCGCCTACAATTAATTCCACATTCAGTTCACTTCAAACTCATCCTTGTTCAGTCGATCAATCTGTATTTGATACCGACAGTAATAATAATAATGTGAGTAGTCAAAATCAATCGTTAAATATTCAAATGAACAATCCATATTGTTTTATTACAAGAGCTGAAGATAGAAATATCGATCAAAACTCAATCGAATCATATTTATGTTCAAATTTTGAAACAGACTGTAGACGAACATTTCATTCACCCCTATCTATTGGAGAAAGATGTTTAAATTTCAGTGAAAATAATTCGAATTTTTGGTCAAATAATATGTGTAATTTATTAAACACAACTGATCGCTATAAATCAATCTTAATGGCCGCTGCTAGTGTGCAATATCCAACATATAATCATCATCTTAATGACAATGATAATAACTCATCAGGACAATCTGAATATGCAACACTCTATGAAACATTTCTTTCTGCTAACAATAATGGCCCCTTAGATATGAATGTCGAAGCGAAATGTTCAATGTTCACTGATAATCAAATAGATAATGAAAGTAAAGTAAATGCATCGATAAATATACCTAAAAATTTATTTTCTCAATCACCATCTCCATCATCACCGTTATCTGGTGAAACAAAAGTATCGTTGAATGTTGAACATTCACTCATTCCTCCAAGGTCGTCAGCATTATTAACATTAAATAGTAATAATAATAATAATAATAATAATAATAACAATTAAACGATATATTGGTCGACCAACATGCGACTGTCCTAACTGTCAAGAATTAGATAATTTAAATTTAACGAATCCAAATATAGCAAGTGAATTAAGGCGAAAAAATCTACATAATTGTCATGTACCTGGTTGCGGTAAAGTCTACAATAAAACAAGTCATTTAAAAGCACATTTAAGATGGCATACAGGTGAACGTCCGTTTGTATGTAATTGGTTATTATGTGGCAAACGATTTACACGTTCTGATGAACTGCAACGTCATTTACGTACACATACTGGTGAAAAACGTTTCCTTTGTCCTATTTGTCATAAACGTTTTCTTCGAAGTGATCATTTAAATAAACATATACGTACACATTCCGATTCGACAACAACAACCGTAAGCGAGAATAATGAACACAATCTAATTAAGTCAATTGACAAACAGTATTTAACTATTAATACAACAAACACTACCTCCACAACTACTAGTAATACCAATACTACTAACGCTTTTATCAGTAGTAATATCAATGATGATAATATTAATACTGATAGTTGTACACCTTTAAGCACTTCATGTAATCACAATATCGAAGAAAATTTTAATGAATATACTATGTGATGACAACATCACTGATGGTGAAATCAGTGGGTTTTTTACCATCTTTGATCATAGTCATTTTTGTTACACACTTTTATTACTTCCGTAAAATATACAGACAATGACACATGGAAGTAAATGTATAGAATAAACTGTGCACCAAACCGAATACATCTAGTAATGTCATTTAATTGGTCCCTCATCCCATTCCAATCTTAACTAATTAATTGCATTTTTAACTTATTCTTCGGTTTAATGAAGAAGAAAAAACAACAATCTATTTTTACTTTTCATATGACTTCCGTGTGTTTTAAGAAAAATTGGAATCTATTATTGTTTGAATTAATAAAAATGATTAATTTTTCTTTCTTTCATTTAAATACTTTTATTGTTTCGCTATTGTTTATCTATGTATAGACATGAGTGAATCAAGTTTTTGTTTTGTCTTTTGGTTTACAAATAAAAAAGTTTTGAATACGTTTTTGATAACCAAAGTGGTAACTTCTTCCACATAGGGGTGGGTCGAGGATAGTTCAACCGATTTCTCTATATAATCATTAGTAGAATAAATTTGGAATATATATAATTTGACGAAATCAAGATTAGGATATTTGTAAAGATTTTTCAATTTTTTTCGAATATCTTTCATTTCATCAGTTGATTTCAGTTAGACAATTAGTGAAAATCATCTGAGCTTTGGTAAGCTATTTTATGCTAATTTGAAACTTTTTAACCGTTATTATTCCAAGTTATCACACCATATTAGAACAGTGGGATTAATTTATTAAGACAAATACCAGATTAGAAGAAATAGTAACAGTATCGAAATTAGTACGAAACACAAGGTATGGAAATTATGATTCGTAGAATTAAAAAGTACAGAATGATTTCAAAATCCAAGATCTAGTGGAAGGCAATGAGTGATTACATCTCTGTTATTGTCATGTCATCAAATATCTCAGAATACTAATCAAAGTAATTATTCGGACTTTAACTTGATAATCTATACATATCAAGATGACCCAGATTAACATTTATTGACTTCATAAAATGATGTCACTTCTTAGTTTATTTGCTGTTATCTTTTCTATAACCAACTCTAACCAACATCTAGCGTACGTATCCTTGAATTCGGATGGAGTTGTAAAATAGTGTAACAAACTTCAGTAACATATGAATAAAAATTGAATAAATTGTATTTTCAATTTCAGTGTAGTTATAAGATGTTACGGGATTTTGACTTGTGAAACAAACGAAGTCATATATGATACAATAAATTACTGATAATAAGCTATGAGGATCCTAACAACGGGAAACTACAAACCCATCCAAAACATTCATTATTTTTATATTTCATCATTATCAACCTATTTAAACAAATAAATAAATAAAGTTCAATAATAATAATAATGATAATAATAATAATAATAATAATAATGAAAAAAAAATCAACATTATTTGATGATGCTATATGTAAAACATATCAAATAGTGGATTATTCCTATTTTAAAAACCATCTCGCGTGGATAAATTTAGGGGAAATCCAATGACCAAATATAAACTTTCCTAATGCAGTTTGAACTGAACTTTTTATATGAAAGACTGCATTGTTGTTACCCATCTGCTCAAACCAAAAATGTGTTGATGTCTGTAGCTAAAATTCAACTTTTAACAGCAAGTGTTTTATCCAATAGACCATCACTACCATTAATCTAACTGATATTAAATTTTTTAACTAGATGACCCATGAAGATCTCATTATTATTTTACTTACGCTTGTTACTCCTCGTGAAGGAGCATAGGCCGCTCACCAGCATTCGCCATCCAACCCTGTCCTGGGCAATCCTTTCCAGCTTTTTCCAGTTGTTATTCATCCTTTCCACATCTACTTTTACTTCCCGACGTAATGCGTTCTTTGGCCTTCCTCTTTTTTGTTTCCCTTCAGGATTCCAAGTAAGCAATTACCTCGTGACGCAGTTTGTTGATTCCCGTAATGTGTGTCCTATCCATTTCCAACGTCTTTTTATAATTTCCTTTTCAGCTTGAAGCTGACTCATTCTCTCCCATAGTAGGCTGTTGCTGATTGTATCCGGCCAACGGACATTCAGTATCTTACGTAGACAATTGTTTGTAAATACTTTTACCTTTTTGATGATGGTTGTGGTAGTTCCCCAAGTTTCGGATCCGCGCAGTAGTACTGTCTTCGAGTGCATATTGAAGATTCTGACAATAATTGGACATCAAATGAATGAATAACACTTGAGAATGACTTGAAAGTATTGTTCAAGACAGAGTTGGTTGGAGAATTCTGTTGGGAGGGCTACACTCCTCCATGAGGGTCAACAGGCGTACCTACGTAAACGAGTAAGCCCCGGTTCGCCACATTGTCCGCACATTCCATGTTCCCATGTTCACTGTTCTCCTAATTGTTAGAAGAGATATCAGCCTCGCTATATCGGAAGAGTTTCAGCTTTCATCATGAAACATCAAAATTCTTCTAAACGAAGATTTTTATATTCCCAGGAAAGATTTTAAATGGTTTGAATGGTTTTTTTCTTGGTGAATGTCTTGTAGTTTATTTCTTTACTATGGGATGGATGTTGCTAACTCCATGTTCAACTTTCCTTCTTTACCTGGACTTGGGACCAGTATTAACCCTAGAAGGGTTCCAAGAGGAGTGACGCTGCTGTATTCGATGATTAACTAATGCATTCAGTGTCTTATTCATTTCTCTTTCTATTAACATACAAAAAGGTGAAGATAATAAACACTTTATGTTTGTTAGTAAATGTGTATGTGATGAATATTTTAATTGCGTCAAATTGTTCATCTTAATAATTCAACTTTTAACATTTATTCAAAATAATTACCTCATAAAATTATAGGTTATAAATAAGGGAGCAGATGAGAAAAGCAACTTACAGATAACGTTTCATACATTATCACTCATTCCGTTGCTGTGTGTCTTTCTCTGTTTCTATATGTATGTAAACTTTTGGTCACGTGTGACATGGATAGAAATTGCGCATTTCCTTGAATTTATGTGTGCACTGATTAGTTTAACACATGATTAGATAAATAATTTTAAATTAAACATTAATGAATTTCTGAGTTTTGCTCAGTTTTATTTCATTTCGTATCCTCAAAAGGGAATTAGTTATATTCGCTTCTCAATACCAACTATTCATAACCTATATCTCTTTGTGTGTATTTCAAAACACTGTATATATAAGCATTTAAACTCCATTCATCTTTCATCAAATACTGTGTTTAGAACTTAAACCACTTCATGTAAATTATAAATTTTAAGATCTAAAATAGCTTCTGTTATCTGGTCATTAGCATTATACTGCCTAAGTCAAGTAGAAACACGGTCATCAGACCTCAAAGACTTGTATTATAGTGCAATTTATTTAATAACGGATAAAATTAATTAAAAAATATTCCAGAACTTAAATGGTTTTTACTAGCAAGGTGTATTTGCATATTTAAGGAAATTAATGTTGTCTGTAGAGTTCGAACTTGCATCAATCAGTTTTCTACATTCGAAAATGTCATCAGTGAGCTGGCAGCAAAATCTGTCCTAAGGTCACAGCTCTGCTGGGTAGTAGGGGCAGCCTTGCTAGTTAACTTGGGGGATCGGCAGAGATTGGATTAATCCATCACTTCTAACTTAAACTTGGATTGTTCGAAGTTCACACTTCGAGGCTTCAAAAATCGAAACAGGATGCCTTTTGTGCATCCTCGTGTATTTGAATAGCACAAGTCTCGGCCTATGTTATAGTCTATGTAGGATATACACAGGGTACTACCGGGCTCGCAAAAGGAACATCGACTGAAAAAATGCCTGCCTTATATCGTATAAGATCGGCGACCTGAACTATCGGGTCGAAGACACCATAAAAAGATATGACAGCAAATATTAGGGAGAGGTGACCATCAACCTCCCCTCTGAGAGCGTGTCTATGCTTACGTTCATTTCATGAAGTACATGGACGAAAGTCTTTTCATTAGCGGTATGCAAGTAATGAGTAAGCGACAGTCAGTTCTAGCAAATTCACTCAAAGAAATATGTAAATATTTATCTTCCTAGGTGGGTGAATATACCTGTATGTATGTTATGGGATGCACGAGTGAAAACTTGTGTGTCACTGTGTACATGTAGACCATACTTGTCACAGGAAAGACGCCCGCACTTCAAGATCTGGGTTTCTAACGGTTTTCCCACGAAATTACGTCCATGCGGTAAGTTCATGAGCCTCGAAAAAAGCGGATCCTGACCCAGATAAATCTATGGACTTTACTGAGTGAGGCTTCATCAATCTCAAATGTACGGAATAGTGCATCAGTGAGCTGATTTTATTTGACGTTTATGGAGAGTATTACTTCTGGGAATAATGTAGACACAAATTTCATCTTAGTGATAACAAATACGAAAACAAGATTCAGAGGTGTATTTCGACTACTTGTAATTAAAATCTACACAAATCAATTAATATTACACCTTATTTGTAAGTATTTTAACACTTGATATAAACCCTCAATTAAATTTATCATCTTGATGAATGTAACATTGACGTAAATAGTTAATCTTGAAATCAGTTGTAACAACTCAGTCATACTCAATTAACCCGTTATTTAAAAAAATTGTGAACGACTTAAAATACAAATAAATTATTATGTTGTATCTGTCACAGATTGATTTCAGTTAGAGTATATTTGAGACTAGAAGGTACTCCTAAGCCGTTTCGTCCCAGTGGAAGACTCCTTAGTTCTGTACATTTATAATCTCACCATGGATCAGTGTTCAAATTCACAGTGGAACTCGAACCCAGTACCCACCACTTTAAACAACAATGTGTCATCTTAAAAAATTACTGAATCCGGATAACCATTAACCTTTTTTAACGAGTATGAATTCGCATATGAGGGGTTGAATTTTCTCGTAGTTGATATCAAGGATTGGAGATGAGTATCAACAATGGTATCCAGGTACATTCAAGTGACGAGTTATTTGTTAC